GACTCAATGGCACATAACAACAATAACAAGATTAAGTTTACTAAGTAAATGGTATACTTCATGGAGAATAGAGAGAAAGGAGGCATTGTTCATTGAATATGCTAAGAAAACTGATGCAAATGCTAAATTATTCTAGGAAAAAGTAGGATATATAGTCACCCTATATATATATCATAAGCAGCTCTGGTGGCATAGTGGGTAAGGCATTTGCCTGCTAACCAGAAGGTCAGTGGTTCAAACCCACCAGCTGCTCTGCAGGACAAAGATGAAGCAATCTACTTCCACAAAGATTTACAGCCTTGGAAATTCAATGAGGGTTGCTATGAGTCAGAATTGACTGGATGGCAGTCAGTTTGGTTTTGGGTTTTTTTATATATTCATCAAAGTTCTAAAGACAAAGGAGTATTTGAATTGGTAAACAGGAGACACAGGGGTCTTCCAGTTAGAACTATCCACATGGGTGGATAAAGAGCAGAAGACAGAGACAGTAGAAGCAGAGACAGAGAGGAGCAAGGGAGGTCACAATAGAGAGAACAATTAAACAGATTGGCCCTGCCTCCCAAGAGTGAGAAATGAGACTAGATACAATAAACCTTAAAAGGTACAAATCTGTATAAATATGAAGTGCCAAAGATATCCTCTTTTAAAGTCAATACTGTTCCAATGAGCAGTATTTTCTTCTACAAGTAGGTATGTACATTCTAATTCAAAATATATTCATTGATCTGCCACCATATGTGCCAGCATCTATATACTCCATGGCACATGAAAGATAAGGGTTGTTTTGCTATGTTTTGAAGGGCACTTATTCACTCATGCTCATGTTTCTATGAGGAAACTCCCTCTCCCATTCACAGGAAGGGGCAACATGAAAAGGAACACTTCCAGTTTCTCTTCCCATCCATACAGGAGAAAAATGATCTTCACTGGTGAGCTAGGGATAGTCCAATATTCATTAACCATCAACCAGAGGGCAGACCTCTGCTTTGAAATGCAGTAAGCAGCTATACCATTGTTCTCTGGAAAAAAAAAAAAAAAAAACTCACTGCCATCGAGTCAGATCCAACTCATAGCAACCCCTCCTTGGGTTTCCAAGGCAGTATCACTACAGAAGTAGATCACCCAATCTTCCTTCCAAGGAGTGGCTGGTGGGTTTGAACTGCCAGCCTTCTGGTTAGCAGTCAAATGCCTTAGGCACTATGCTACCAAAGCTCCCTTTGTTCTCTAGTGCTGCTGTAACAGACATACCACAAGTAGATGGCTTTAACAAACAGGAATTTATTCTTACAGTTTAGAAGGCTATAAATTGAAATTCAGAGTGCCGACTCTAGGGACTGGGTGAAGGTCCCTCAACCTTGGGCTTCAGCTCTGCCTCTTACTCCAGGCCCACTGGAGCTAGAGGCTTCTTTCTCATAACTCACGCAGCTACTGGCTGCTGAGGCTGACGAACCCAAGGTTGGCAAGTAGAACAGCACTATCCCGAGATCAACAGGCAACACGGCAGACCACTGGTTCAAGTCCAGGAACAATTCCAAGATCAGCAAGCAGGCTTACATTGGGCCACTGAGAGGATGATTCAGCAAACGTAGGTTCCAGATAATGCCAAAAAAGCAAAAGACCTTTCTCAAAGCTTTTCCACATATACTGGAAGCAGGCCATACCATGAAGGCAACTACTTAGGTGCTCATAGCAGATTCCACCATAGGTGATTACAGTCTCATCATAGGGAAAAACTACATCCAGATGCCCAGCAACCACAGCCCAGCCAAGATGACACACAACTTTAACTATCACAACACACAATGCCTTTATTCTGCTCTCCTGCCTTTCTGGACCAGTCTGTACTCAGTGCTGTGAGTAAATGCCCTTCCAGTATCTTCCCCTGCAGCTAGACCTATATATCACAGGATCATGTGTGTTCCAAAGTTATGTTACAAAGGGACACACATGGCCCTGACACATTCTTCAATCCAGCTTGATAAAGCTTCATAAAGCCATCTCTATTTTGATCTCTGTCAAGCATGCTGCATCGCTTCTCGATTGGTTAGGAAACCAGAGAGAAAAGAAGAAATCATTAGGATCCCAAAGCTACAGCCATAATTGCATGGAGAATGCGTCCTTTATATGCTTTCATGCTCACAAACTTCAAACAATATAAAAATTGCATTGAACTTTTTCTCAAATACCTACCTGAAACCAAGGTGCTTCACCAAAGAAGAAAGCTTTTGACCAAACAGGTTTGAAGAACCGGGCAATCAGTACACCTATGCTAACAGTAGTCATCCATGCCATGAACATTAAGGCACCTACAAGTGAGAAAAAACATTGACTAAGATGAAGAACTGGGAGCTCTGGTAGCATAGTGGCTAAAGCACTTGACTGCTAACCAGAAGGCTGGCGGTTCAAACCCACCAGCCACTCCTCGGAAGGAAGGTTGGGCAATCCTACTTCCGTAGTGATACTGCCTTGGAAACCCAAGGAGGGGTCGCTATGAGTCGGGGCTGACTCGACGGCACATAACAACAACAACAACAAGATGAAGAACTAACGAAAATGTTTCATAATGACTAAGCCAAATGATTAGAAAATACAGAAAGTCAGGAAAATACATTCATCTGACTTAAGTAAAATCTAAAAAGATCCTGGACATCCCAGTTTTTACCACCACTACTATTACTTCTATTAGCTAACACTGCCACAGCTCTGTTATGTACCAAGCACTGTCTCAAAGTATTTTATGTATATTAACTCCTTTAAAGTAGTTAAAATTATTATTCCACTTTACTGCATGGAGAAACTAACACATAGAAAAGTGAAGTCATTCGCCCAAAGTTACAAAGTTGGAAGGTGAACCAAGTCTGGCTTCAGCAACTGTGCTCTTAACCATTTTGCTAATACAGCCTGTTCGCAGTTATTCCAGAATCTTCTCATATCTCATTCCAAAACAATGGAAAACAAATGGCTCATTATTTCTGAATCCAGTTACTGCCAAAACTAGAATTACAGTTGGGAGCTGTTAGCTGATGTTGAGTGAGTCCTTGAATCATGGCAACCCTACACACAACCAGATCAAACCACTGTGATCAAAGTGTTCACTGGTTGATTTTCAGAAGTTGATCACCAGACCTTTCTTCCTGAACTATCTTAGTCTGGAAGCTCTGCTCTAATCTGCTCAGCCTCATGGCAACACGCAAATCCTCCACGGACAAACAAGTGGTAGCTGTGCTAGAGGAGCCTTGGTCAGGAATTGAACCTGGATCTCCCTCATGTCAGGCAAGAATCCGACCACTGAATTGCCTGCCTCCAACAACATGAATAGAAGCAAATTAACAATAATGTTACTTTCAAGCTTAACACTGACAGTATTTCCTTGGAATTCTGTTAAGAATAGATAATCGTGGAAAATATACAAAGTAAGTTTTCATAAAACACAAATAATTTACAATAGTATAGCATACACCACATTATTGTACTACTTTTAAATCTGATCTTTTTAACAATAAGTTGGGATAGTTTTCAAATCAAATCAACTTTCATCAATAGAACGAGACTAGGGAAAATCAGAGCCTTGTGTTTAAGATACTGCTCTTCCAACTTAGTCCCATTCATCTTTGAGTGTACAACACCTCAGTATAGTACTAAGTACTTTGTATATCCTCAAATACTGGTACACTGATCAGTTCTTCAAAATTAAACTATATCCTTGAAACCAAACTACTTTTACTTTTACAATTAGACAATCAAAATCACCATTTTGTTAATAATTTTTTTAATAAATGATATAATTGTTATGTGCTGTCGAGTCGGCCCCAACTCATAGCGACCCCTCCTTGGGTTTCCGAGGCAGTATCACTACGGAAGTAGGATTGCCCAACCTTCCTTCCGAGGAGTGGCTGGTGGGTTTGAACCGCCAGCCTTCTGGTATAATTAGGACCCCTTAAAGTTAAATTAATTAACCCAGTTTTACTCAACCATTCTGAGTTAGAATCACCTAGAGCATTTTTTAAATATTACTTCTTGAAAATGTCTTTAAATCTCTATTGGTGATATTAATGCACAACCAGGGTTAAAATCACTATATTAGTCCTACCTTCCATTCTTAATAAATATTAGAAGACATTAAGATAGTTAATATCATCTGAAAATTCTAATACTTAAAAGATTTATGAGAAACTGCTCAATTATACCTACTACCATTCCTAATCTCACCAACAAATCTATTCTACAAAGTAGTAATAATATTACATGTAACTTACCATGAATCTTCAGAAGGAGTGAAGAATGGGATCCTCCTATGTTCTTTGGATAGTCTGTCACATTGTGTGTTTCATATGTAATCAGAGGTTGCTGGGTATGTTTATAAATTCGACCTGAAAATTAAAAGAAGAATTTCCTCATGAAAGAAGGAATTTAAAGACAGCTGCAAAGCAAGAAAACAAAATTTTTTAAGTAACAAATGAGTATCAACAGAGATTTCACTCATATATAAAACCAAAAAAAAAAAAAACCCACTACCATCAAGTCAATTGTGACTCATACATGACAACACAAATACATAAGCAATAGTTCATGATTTTTCTCAAAAAAAAAAATTAAATAATTTTGCCAAACAAGAAATGAATCAAAATAAGCACTAAGAATGGAGAATTTATGATATAAGAACTGGTAGTTAGCAAGAGAACAGTTAAGCAATGTTAAATGAAAACTTTGATTTAACTGTTGATAAGGTCATAAAACATTGAAAATTTCAAAAATAATTCTTAAAAGAGAACACATATAAAAAGTTTTTTGAAGGCAGTAACTGCTACCTATATCCAGAATCCAGGATTAAAGCAACCACAATTTGATGTGGGGATGGGTTATGGGTGGAAGACAAACAAAGAAAAGGCATTTTGATGCTACATTATTTGGTCTATGGTCCATTCATGTTAGGATTGACTAATCAACACAAAATCACAAATAATAGTGCTATTCAAAACCTGGGAAGTTAAACTTTATTGTTGTGTATATACCTTATTTTTACAGAAATAACACAAGTCTTCTACATTTGTTTGCCAACTGCTCTGCCCCACATGGTATATTCATAAACACACAATGCTATTTTTTTTTCTTAAACATGTAAAAAAAAAAACATGGTATAAAGGCCACTTAAAAAATACCCAGAAAAGGGGATAAATGGTAGGGAATGGTTGACAAATAATCATATTAGAAGTTATTTGCATAAAAATACAATAATTAAAAATTAGAAGGTACAGAATTTACTCCAAGCATGTATATCTGTTTTCTAGAAATCTACTCTAGGTAAACTATTCACTTTTTAACCAAACTTACATGTACAAGAATGTTCACAGCAACATTTTTTCACGAGCCAAAAATATATAATAAATGTCCATCATTAATAGAATGAGTAAACAAATTATGAAACATACACATTCTTGAAATATGTTACAAGTGTGAAAAACAATTTAAAAATTTGACATAACGTAAATATGTGGACCTTTGTCCAAAACAAATAGTTTAAGTATTAGCCCACGGAGAAAATCTAGTAATCTGCAAAAATAAATTCTTATACAGGTTATAGTGTATGCCAATATATAATAAAATTGAAACTTAGTAAAAAAAAAAAGTCCATCTAGATATTTACAAAAGTACTCTACTAAATAACCTTCAGATTATATAGGTAATCAAAACTAAAATCACAAATCTCCTTAGAGATGAATACCAATTAAGACACTTCACATCAAAACACATGTGATGCAATCAAGGTATTATTCAAAAGGAATTTTTATCATTTTGAAAGCATTTCTTAAAATAATTAAAAAGGAAATACTCAAAGGATTGCTATTATTATTTCATTCAAGATGCATTTAAAACAACAAAATACAACCTAGGAAGGAGGAAGGAAGAGTGATTAAAAATAAAGGTAGAAGTTAGCAAACTAGCAAGTGTAAGAATCAAGTCTGTAAAAGGACAATAAAATACACTGAGTTGTTGGCAAATCTAATCACAATAAAAAGAAATACCAGGCAATGTTAAAAATAAGAAGGGTAATTAACTGCTGATAAAGAAGCTATTCTTTTAAATTATGAGAAAATGCTATCTACAACTTTAAGTCAGTCAAACAAACTTAAAATCTAAACAAAATGGATAAATTTTGAGGATATATAGAATTATAAAAATTTACCAAAGAACAGTAACCCTGAAGAGCAACAACAATAAAAGAAAACAATTTAAGGTAGTCAGATACTTCCATCCCTCACCCTACTGGATGAGTTCTGCCATACCATCTAAAACAAACAAATAAATAAATAAAATTCTAGTTTTTAAAAAACTCTTCTAAGGTTAATTCTGTGAGAAAAGCATAATAGTGAAACCATTCTCACAGAACAAAGGGATACTGCATGGTTTAAAATCAGAAAGGGTGTGCATCAGGGTTGTATCCTTTCACTATCCTTACTCAATCTTATTGAATCAGTATGCTTACCAAATAATTCCTGAAGCTGGACTACATGAAGAAGAACGCAAAATCAGGACAGGAGGAAGACTCCTTAACAACCTGCTATATGCAGATGATACAACCTTGCTTGCTGAAAGTGAAGATGACTTGAGCACTTACTGATAAAGATCAAAGACTACAGTCTTCAGTATGGATTACACTTCAACATAAAGAAAATGAAAATCCTCACAACTGGGCCAATAAGCAACATCATGATAAATGGAAACAAGAATGAAGTTGTCAGGGATTACAGTTTACTTGGATCCACATTCAACACCCATGGAAGCAGCAGTCAAGAAATCAGACATTATTTGCACAGGGAAAATATGCTACAAAAGACCTCTTTAAAGTGTCAAAAAGCAAAGATGTCACTTTGAAGACAGGTAAGGTGTGCCTAACGCAAGCCACGGTATTTTTATTCATCTCATATGCATGTGAAAGCTGGACAATGAATAAGGAAAACCGAAGAAGAATTGATGCTTTTGAGTTGTGGTGTTGGCAAAAAATACTGAAAACACCATGGACTGCCAGCAGAACGAACAAATCTGTCCTGGAAGGAGTACAGCCGGAATGTTCCTTGGAAGCAAGAATGGCCAGACGTCATCTCACCTACTTTAGTCATGTTGTCAGAAGAGACCATTCCCTGGAGAAGGATATCATGCTTGGTACAGTGGAGTGTCAGAGAAAAATGGGAAGATGCTCAAGAAGATGGATTGACACAGTGGCTGTAATGATGGGCTCAAGTATAGCAAGGATTGTGAGGATGGCACAACACTGGGCAGTGTTTCGTCCTTTTGTACACAGGGTCACTGTGAGTCAGAGCCAAATCAATGGCACCTAACAACACAACAACCAAGCAAGAATTATCTCAAATATAGGAGAATTGTACACAACTCAGAAATTATAAATGTAAGTATAAAATATTGCCTCATTGTTGTCTGTAGCAGGTATCTATGTGTCCATGTGTGCTTCCTCATACCACACCAATTCACTCTAAATATCCTCTCTAATACCAAATGCAAATGCAGTACTTTTTCCTCCTATCCTAACCATCAGAAATAGGTCAGATCTCACAAGGTAAAGGGCACAGTCCTCCAGACTATCAAGTCTATCAGGCATAGTCACAACTTGGAAGTTACCACAACATCATCACTTCTGACTGACTGGCTACAAGTCTGGGATTTCCTATTGCCCCCTGAAGATGACACCCCTAAGTTCCAAGGGCCTCCTCTTTTCTGTCCTGCTGACTACAATTTCAGGAATTCCCATTATCCCTGGGGTTTGAGAATTCACTAAAACAACTCACAGAACTCAAGAAAACATTATATTTATGATTAAATTTTATTCATAACAAAAAAGATAAAAGTGAAGAGACACAGAGGGTGAGGTTTGAGAGAGTTCCCAAAGTGAAGCTTCATGTCCAAGGGATGTGCTGTCTTCTCCTATGCACTGATGTCTATACCAAGGAGGAAGCTCAGGAAGACTCAGTGTTCAGAGCTTTTACTGGGGTCTCACTACAAAAGAATGATTGATTGATTACATCATTGTCCATATAACTGAACTTAACCTACAGCCCTCTTCCCTTGAGGAACTGATATCACATGGTTGGTCTTTGTGGTTTGGAGCTCTCATGGACAGAAAAGATGCCAATCACCAGGGACGTTCCAAAGTTTGAGAACTTATCTCTCAGGAATCAAAAATAAAGATCAAATTCTTTGGGTAAAGTTAATCATAAATCCCACACTACTCGAAAGATATATAACACACCAGCATGACAAACTCTTAATAATGCTAGAAATGAAAGGGCATTTCCTCAAAACAGTAAAGGATATCCACCAGGAAAAATACAGTATGTTTATTTTAAAATGTATATTGAATGTATATTTAAAGTATTCCCTTCAAGGGCAATATACCAAATGTGAGTGATCAGCCCAGTGGCATTGAAGAAGAGGAAGACATAGAGAGGTACATAGGAGGTACAAGCAACAAAGATGAACCCTTTTCCATGTACAGTACTGTATTGTCAGTGATGGCAAGCATTGATCTACAGGTGGATACACAGGTGGACAGGCTGAACGATCAGGTATGTCTGGGCAGAGGGTAGTGTGCCCATGACCATGTAAAAGGCAGACAATGTATCTACATGCATATCTGTATGTGCTATAAGAATGTCCAAGTGTATAGTAGAGCCGAAAAGGGGTGAGGTTGTAGTGGCTTCTTGGTCACAGCCAGCTACCCAAAGGGAGTGAGTAGTTGGACCTGTGGGCTCAGGACCATGGTCACAGGGGACATCAAGCTCAATTGGCATAACATACTACACAAAAACATTTGTTCTACATCCTATTTTGGTGAGTAGCAACTGAGATCTTAAAAGCTTGCAAGCAGACATCTAGATGTAATGATGGGTCTCTCCTCATCCAGAGCAAAGAAGAATGAAGAAAACCAAAGATGCATGGAAACAATTAGTCCAAGGGACTGGTAGACCATGTGATCCTCAGACTATATGACCATGAAACCAGAAGAACTACATGGTGCCCAGCTACCATTGTTAACCACTCAGAGGGTGATCAGTGCAGGAGATCCGGGATAGAGTGGGAGAACAATGTGAAACAAAACTCGAAATCATTAAAAAAAAAAAATTTACTTGTCTGATTGAGCCTGGTGAAACCCCCAAGACTATGGCCCTAGTTACCATTCAGGTCTGAAATTGAACTCACTCCCCTGGCTTCCAGCCAAACAACAGACAGGCATATGGGGTGAACATTTTCATCAGGTAGATATACTACTTGCAGTGATCATTCATGGGAAAACAAAAGGGCAGTGTTTTCACAGGGAGACAGCTCACGGGGCAGGAGTGCATGGGAGGGAAGGACA